ACCATGTAGGAGCATGGCAAGGCGATACTGGATTGGAATAGTTACTGATGCTGCCATAACAGTAACACAAGATATTTTGGCTGTTCTAATTGCCATTGGTGTTCCTGGCTGCTATGAAGGGATTCCTATTATTTGCATCCCGTTCTGTACCATATATCTTGCCTGCTTTCTTTGCCATACTTCCTAGCAGCTCCAGTGAACACTTATGAGCAGAACGGAGGGACAATGCCCATTCCTTTAGCCCGATTTCATCCTGGAGGAGAAAAAGAAATTAGAAACTGGATGAATATGCAGACTTCAATTAGAATTGTGCACATTATGGAAATGTCATATATCAGTAAGTATGCCCCAAAACCGGTGAACAAGTTTTGATGAACACTAGTCTCACAAAGGAAGGCGGATGGATCTACATTAAAAATCATCAAAGGAATTTAATTTTGATAAAATACAATGCCGAGTTTACATACTCCACAGAATAGAGTCCCTCTTCAGAAGCTGTAGTCTCTCATACACTCAAGAAATTCCCCACATTTTATGGAACCCAAAGCTTCATTGCCATGTTCACAGCAGCCCACCACTAGACCCCATTCTCAGCAAGATGACTCCAGCCCAACATCCTCAAATCCTATTTTCTCAAAAGTCCATTTCAATATTATCCTTGCTTGGACCCCCAAGTAGTCTGTACATTTAATGTTTTAATCAAAATTCTGTTTGCGTTTGTCCCTTCTTCCACGCACGCTACATAATCTTCCCATTCTATCCTGTGATTTAATCACACCCACAATTTCTGGTAGAAAGCAAATGTTATACAATTCTTCATAAAGAATTTTCTTCAGTCTCCTGTCAGTTCCTCCCTCTTAGGTCTAAAAACTCCTACTCAGAATCCTATTCTCAATCACCCCAATCAATGTTATTTTGATATTATATTCCATAATCCTGTTGTGGGAATTACAAAGGCATTTTTAATGTATATAACTTCCACCACATACAACAAACTTGATTATTATGACACAGCAGTTACAGTAAATTTGCAGCTACAGGTTAAATCCCAAACCGGAAGTGATGTAAGTGTACAGCAGCCATCATCATAATTCTTGTCACTCATATCTCCTTGTATTTGTCCAAGTGTGACTCTTTACCACCAACCATTAGCTGTAACGATTTATGCCAGATGTCTGTTAAACAGACACCAATATGCCTAATTTGATGAAGAAGAAAAAAACACATAAATGTTAATACCTTTCCACAGTCCTCTGAAAGCAAAACATAAGTGAAAGCTAAACTTTGGTTGTTTGCCCCTATTCCCTTGTAGAGCAGTTGGCATGGTAGCGGACTGGTGTCGATGCCAAGTCTGCGAGTTTGAATGCCAGTGTCTTAATATGGAAACATCCACAACTTCAAAACTTTCCAATTTTCCCAAATTTCAAAACCCACAACTCAAGAACTTACTATTTCCATATTAAAATTTATATTATTTAAAATTTAACACTTTACCATATCCTTAATTTTCTTAACCAAAACTTAAAAAACTTGACCTAACCTAACCCGGGTAATCACGATACCCATCGCAAACAAATTCAAACTTTGACAGATCTCACTGGCCTACTGTCAATTTACCTTTCAACTTTCCTCATCTGTAATGTTCTTATCACCAATCACATGATATTCAAACGTACAATTTTGACGTAGTCCCCAATGCCATAACTTCATTATGAATACATACAAATAACTTGCCTAAGTTGTAAGAATATGAAAATGGTCCTTCATGTTCGGCAGCTTAATACGAAATAAAGTTTATGCACAAGAGACCTACTGGGTTTGTGAGAACAATCTTGCCATCCCGGGTACGGACCACAATGCACTGCTCATTCTTGACATGTACCAGATCTGCACTGACATCTTCTATCTGGTCCATGAAGACAAGTTCTGGTTTGGTGTTGCCAGACTCTGGATGCAATTCTAATCTATTTGGATACAGCTTGGCATACCGTGTTTGCCATGCTGAAGCAAATGGCCCACCCAATTTCTTGATATATCCGTGCAGAATGCAATCAGACTCTGTGCCAACAAGCAAACAGTATGAATTTACAAAATCAATCAACATTTCTGAGGAATGCACTGAGAGAAACACAAACCAGCTTTTAGGCATAGTTTGAAATTATTATGCACTAGACTGAAATTACACACCCAACCTTACTTGAAACTAAAGGTATGCAAGGACAAATGAATCTACTCACAGGAAATAGACCACACATTTTCTCAACGCTTGCAACTAAGATTACAGTTTTTAAGAGAAAACTCTTGAAAATGCAAGTCTGTTTCTGTATCTGAGTTCCATACCATGAAAGTGTATAGGGGGCATGAAAATAAACTTCCAGCACAGTCTATGAAATATCACAGTTTTGAGGTCCTGGTTCAAATCTCAGCTTAAAAAGTCTCCACTATCCTGACTGAGGCACTTTTGTTATTTTCCTCAAATCATCTGACAAATCCTGGGATTGAACCTGAACCATCTCAGTCAGCCTCCAGCGGCAGCAGCATGAGCTGAACGTGTTGTGCCATTTTTGCTGAAACTGCAAGCCTTCAGAAAAACATTTCTACTTATCACAAATCTAATGACAGACATCAGAAATGTTTTGCAGCTCTTGATTGTCTTGGAGAACCCCATACAACTATAAAAAGGTTTGACTATATTTCCTGTACACAAAAACGTATTTTTGGAAATAATAAAATTAGAATTTGAACTTTGTCAACTTCCATAAAGAGATATTCTATTTCACTCTTGTTACAGCACATTCGTTTTATAAATGGTAAATCGTGTTCTCTGTTGTAATCTCTTCAATTTGCACAGGTCTGGTGATAAGAGGTATGATGATTTCAGAGTGCAAAATTTCATAAAGAAAGTCACTGTTTTCCATAAGTGCATGTTATAACTGGGGGTTTACAACCTCAAATAACAACTGAACTGTTAAAAAGGACCAACATTTTTTGCAAATGCACACCAAACAGACTATAAGGTAAACTGACTGATGTACTCCTGTGGTTTTAGTGACTGACTGGGCAATGGTGCAAACTGTGATTGCATTTCTGTTAGCACATGTACAAATTTGTCTGGAAGATTTCGGATGATGAACAAAGCAGAGGGCATATACGTCATTACAGAAGTTCACATGAGTAAAATTGTTCAAGGCAACTAGTGAGCATACTAGCAATAACCATTACCACATTGAAGGAGGCGCGGAAGCTTGCAAGCAGACTGCAGCCTGAAGTCACAGCTGAAAAATTGTGAATTTCAAGTTTTGCAAATATATTCGATTGCCGGTTTATTTAAGAAGATTTTGAACTGACTCAGTTATGGAGCACCATAAGGTAGTAGGATGTGTGAATGCTGTATGCATCTTAAGGTACTATAAAGCCACCTGAATGTACATCCTGACAAAAACTACACACCTAAATGAGGAGTGCTGTTAACTGAACTTTCTTGAATGGAATGACAAACTTTAGATTCTGTCTTGGGAAATTTTGCCTGTAAGGAATTAGAAAGGGGACACTGGGCACAACATAACCAGCTATTTGAATAATTAAATAGTACTATACAATGGAAATGACAAAGTGACTGGTTTCACCCTCAGGAACTAACACGACAGCTTCACTCATACCTACACAGCATCCAAGTTTCTCATTACTAACCTTTCTCATCTGTGTCAAACTTCAGTTTCTGTTTGGCTTTTTTCTTCTGCTCCAGTTTGTCTGCCTCTTGATTGATTGTCTCAAACACAGTTTCTGCAACTTCAGCCTGCCACCTTTCTGAGATCACTAATGGAAAATTCTTATACAGGTCCTGATCTGCATCTGTTAACTACAGAGAGCAGAAAACACAAGTTAACAGTTTTCAAGTGCTTAAACTACTGAATAAGACATTCTGTATTCGTAAGACAATGGAGAAAAATGGGAGGACAAGGCAACAGTACATCAGCTGTTTATAGAAATGAAGAAAGCCTACAGCTCAGGAGAGAACTATGTGCAACATTCTTACAGAATTTTGTATAACAAGTTAGCCTATTTAAAATATATAACAAAAATAATAATTATGTCAGGCCCTATAACGCTGAAACAAGGAGGTTTGTCTAAAGGTGATGCTGGGGAAAATGAAGTTTATGTATATTCATGTCATTATTACAATGCAAGATGATGAAATCGCAATATAGGGATAACTGATAAATCCTTAAAAAAATTTGCAAACTGCAAATATTTGGAAATGACAGAAACAGATCAAATTTCATTCAAGAATAGTCCAAGAGTGTTCCACAACCCATGTGCCACCACAAGATATCAAGTGTGCTGCAGTATTTTATAAGAAATTGCATTACAAAAAGGCAATAAGCTAAATTAAATATTATTTGTTCCAATCTGAGCCTTGAGTTTAGTCTACTTCGTATCTGCTTCCCCTCAACTGATAAATCTAAATGTTCTTTGTTACACATGATTTACGCTGCTTTGACTGGAAAGAACATAAGCCACTTCTTGACACAAGCCGAATATATTAACACTTTCCCAAGCCCTAGTGATGTCCACATTATCAACATTTTCTGAAGATGACAGACTTTTGTATTTTAATCTCACAATGTAGTGTTCTTCAATTTGCATTTTGTTTAGTTTCTCAACATTACATATCCCCATATAAAATTTTCACACTGATTATTTGCTTACTTAAAGCCACTTCCAAACTATTTCAACCACTAGATAGTGGTCAGTATGGATCACCACACATGTACAAACACAAATGTCAATGTGCTGATCTCCATTAATGGACCAGATCCCAATCACAAACAGTGCAGCTTTCATTCTTCAGCATAGGAGAAATGAAATTCCCATAATACGGGTCTGCTGGTTAGACACTAGCAGCATACTGCTACAACAAAGGGTCAGCTGGACATGTGTACATTGTGACCCATGGCTGATAAGGTTAAATTTCAGGAAACTCCACCCACCTTTATACCCTTTGTGTCCTCTTCATCAAAAGAACCAATATCAAATGCATCTGCTGCATTCACCTCCCCTCTGGGAGGTGTCAGAGGTGGTGTGTACTTCTGGAGGTAAACCTGTTGCCAATCCATTCCCGCAAAAAATGAATGCTCCTTCACTTCATCAGCACTATTCATCGACACAAACAACAGCATATATCACGGTTCAGTTACTTGATGAAATAACTCAACGCATGCAGGTCTGAAAAAGCAACCTGTTAACTCATTTCCCACAATGCACAATTAAATCTAAGTGAACAATTTAAAAGTTTAATGCTCGAAATTAGTGGAAAGTCTTAAAAACTTTTTGGGGCAGAATCTGACCTTCACAGGAATTATATCTGGTCCCACATCAGGGTCATATAACAATAATAAAATTTAAAAAAAAAAGGTAGCTACAGTGGTCCGACATGTACTCAGATAAGTTGATTACATGAGAGGTGCTTTGTTGGAATGACTAACATTTGAAAAAAAAAAAAATGTTTTCAGTTAAAGGTCAAAGTCTAACTCTTTTAAAACTCAAACAAGGTAAGGTACCACGTGCAAAAATATACTGATCTCAGGAACAGACAAAATTAAACAAATTACAAAGCAAAAATCTGACATTTACCATGAACCAATCAAAATTACAACTTATCAGAGATCTATCTCCATGAATACACAATACATAAACACATATAATTAATTATACCACATGTAACTTCACATTATGTGATACTACGTTGGAAATGTTTGAGTAAATGGTGTAATTACATTATATATCATGCATCATTGGAAGGCGTGCAGTAATAATGACAATGCTTTGTTATACGCCACACGTGCCTTTAGCATAGCGGAATGAAACTTCTCAGCATGAATGAAAAACCCAGAATTTGCCTATAAAACATTTCATCAGCATCAGGCTGCTGCATGTCACGGACACTGATTACCACATCAGATAATGCAATACAACTCAAACGCTTCAAAATAAGTCTGGTGTTATGAACAATGCGATGTTTACACACTTGTGCAGTCACCACCCATGCAAGTGATGGGGGTACGAAACAGCTTGTTTTCCAGCTCAGTTTGAGTTTTTCACACAAAATGTGACTTGGAATGTTGACGGACAGGTCACGTTAACATAGATTTTTTTAAACTCTGGAATCACCCATTAATCATTCTCGTGACCAATTACTATCACTATCAGTACATCATCATTATTTTCAACTTTTCAATTGAGTTTATCCTTTGCCTTTGTTCATCTTGCACTGCCATATTAATGTTTGTCATTCTACAAAACTGACTGATACCAGACAATAAATTGAATCCATCCCCTTATTACTAACAACTCGCAGGAAGAGCAGAATCAGAGGTATTCAGCATTTTGTCTTGGCATATCCTGTTGAAATAAGCATTTTGCATTATGTAACAGGCTGTGATTTAGCAGTTGGTCTAACAGACCTCTTACGTTAATCATTAAAAAATTCTCAAGAGCCTTCCAGCCATTAAAACTGCAAAGCCCTAGACAAACATTGCAAATTACAGCAACCAGACAGATGAGTCATTCGTAATTGCAACTGATATACCTCAATATATGTAGTCACAACGCAGATTACACACACACACTACATTGCTGACATGCCATGTTTGTTATGCATATCTGTTTCAAAGTTTCAAATCAACACCTTCAAAATATGAATTTACAAAACTTTAAAACAGTATAAATATATTTATTTTGTGTAAAATGTCAATAAGATAAATACGCTGCTATAGAATACATACAAATGTAACCATCTGATGGTGGCCTCAGCTGATTTTTAAATGTGCTACATGGCACATGCTTGGAATGACAGCTTGTTACTCTTCTGTGCATCAAAATGTTTGGTGTTTGACATCTCAACATTTAACCATACTATTATTAAAAAGTAAAGTTTGTCCCACTATACGCCATGTAGGCGTTTGGGGTGAGAGGAGGTATAGCTCCTCTCTTCCTTGACCTCGGCACTAGATGGGGGTGAGTGGTCAGCATCACGCCCCGGCCGGCTTTACCCCCGGGAAAGGACCCCGGTACCCATTGTAGAGGAGGCTGGGTGGGCCCCAGAGCCGGTCTGGACGCAGAGGCTAGAGGAAAAATCCTGCCCCCATCGGGGATCGAACCCCGGTCGTCCAGCCCGTAGCTAGTCACTATACTGACTGAGCTATCCCGGCTCTAACCATACTATTATTATTGATATAAAATCTGCTACCTGGACAGCCATGATAGTACTGCATTTATGGGGTCTGAACCTTTAAATACCCCAGCTACACACTAGGTTCCTGTTAAATGTTCCACATCCAAGTGTTAATTAAAAGTATTGCGGTACACATTGTAACATGGCACAATCACAATTATCTAATTTGATTATGGGGCCAAGTCCTCTTACCTTTCCAGAAGTTTAATTGCCTGGAACAAGTATTCTTTATAATTATATTTTTTCCAAACAAAGTAAACTCTTATAAAAATGGACCTCTACTGCAGTCGGTAATATTTCAAGTAGTTTGCTGGTGTGAACACAGGCCCAGGTTTAATGTAAAAGGCTTGAAGATGAATACAAACACATTAGAGGTAAAAGGCAAAACAGGAAAAAAAAATAACATTTTATTTTTTTTATTTTGAAATGTATATTGTAACTGATTTTATTAGAAAGTAAAATAAAAAAGTAACTTCTCAATATCAACCCTGCACACAGACTTACCCATTTCCTTTACAACCCAGTCTTTTATCAATGTCTCTTTGCAGCAGTAATTCCAGTAATGATCTAAGATCTTTTGAAAAAGACTCTGGCAATTCAACATTCTGAAATCAAATAAAATTAAATTGGAATACTGATCTATAACGTTCCCTGGTTTAAGGTTCTCTAGTTAAAGACAATTTAAATTCCTCCCACTTTGTAGTTTCAGTTTCACATCAATTAACAACTGTACTATCAAGATCATACAACGGGGACTTCACTGTTACATTTTGGATGCAATCTTTAATTGATGAATGAAAGAATTTGCTCAGTGACAGAACTAGACTGAGGAATCAATCAATTTCCTTTCAATAACTGCGAATACATCCTCACTGGTGATCTCAATGAACATCACCTCACAGTGAGAATTACAATACTTCAATATGTGAGTAATGACAATGGTCATTACAACTTCTCATCAAAATGGTCACCATTCTTAAGTATTAACAATTCAAGTTGTAGCATGAAACAGTTAAAAATATTAACCTTCCCTGAATTGGACTTCTTGGTTTCCAAAGTCTTTTGAATAGCTTTTGGGTAGTCATAATAATGGGGCCGACTGTTAACTTGGCTACTCTGCTGAAACAATGCAAACAAAATAACAGGCTTCTGTGGTCAGTGCATGTGAGAAGTATTGAAAGTTATTGAAGAATGACTGTATGAAGAAAAGGAACGTTTGCGAGTGTACTGAAAAACTGAAAGGAAGGCAGAAGAATATTCATGCCTTCTGAGCAGAAGTAACGCATACAGACTGATCAGTGTACCGGGACAATTGATGACATTTTATGAAAAATGAGCATCTGTAAGATCTTGCACAAGACGGTGAAACAAAGTCTGCTACAAAAAAACATGAATTTGAAAGTCAGCTGTCTGCAATGGAACCAGGATGGACAAGATGCTTTCCTGAGCAGCACAGTGACCTAACACGGGGCACACGTCCACCACTATGATGACGAGAGTAATAAATGACCAACAGAAGCATACATCCTCTCCAATCACCAACAACTTAAAACCACAGCCTTCAATTTGACAAGTAATATTAATGGTTTCTGCAACCCCTCAGTTCATTTTCAGGAGCTCGTAACAGCCGTCAGTGACGAGACATATAACAGGCTGGAGCTTCAAACTGCTCTTAGAAGCCATTCTTTTGCTCCGTGATAAGTTTACAAATGTTAAAACCATTGATAACATGAAATATGAAGTCATCCAATATCTACCTTTAAGTTATAACTTACCAACATCCAATTATCACATTCTTCTGCTGACAAAGAAAGCAACATGAACTCAGAAATAAGTAAATGAAGAATGAATGGCTTAAGGCCCAAGCAATAACACTTTATGATGATGGAATCAGAAAACATGGGAATTGTTGGGCCAAATGCACTGAAAACAAGGTAAAGTAAATGAAATTAAATATGCGTAACAACAGCTTGTAGAATCCTATCACAAAATTGCCTTCAATTTCCTCACTGAAGATATTTCGATCACATTAACTCACCATTGTTAAAGTCATCCTATCTATTTCATGCTTGTCTTTTGTTTTGTGCTGTCTGAATGGACTATGGCCTTTGAGCAATTTGTACAGCATACAACCAAAGGAAAACCAGTCTGCACTGGAATCATATGCTGTCCCCTTAGACAAGACCTCAGGAGCCATGTACCCATGTGTTCCTCTGCAACAGAATTTAACATTCAAACACTGATAAAAAAATTAGGTAGGGAAAAGGGATCAATAATGCAGATGCAAGAGGTAAGCGAAGCATGAAGGTGGGAACTTCAATGCATTATGACAACATTTGAAGTTCAAAACTCGTGGTCACAACGCAAATCTGTCCAGTTTTAGGTTTGTTAACACAATTTGGTAAGCTTTTACATTTAACAGAAGTGAGAAAAAATACCAAATTCCTATACACTTCACAGAACCATAAAGAACTGGCATCAGGCCATCGTCATACTAGTTGCAATAAACACCTAAAATTGTACTCACAAAACCAGGTGTCTGAACTTCCCACAAGTACATAAAACTCATGTGAGCCTGAGTAGCTCAGTCAGTATAGTGACTGACTATGGACTGGATGACAAGGGTTCAGTCTCCAACAGGGGCAGAGGATTTTTCCTCTGGCCTCTGTGTCCAGACAGGCTCTGGGGGGACCCATCCAGTCTCCTGTCCAATGGGTAAAGGCATGACACACGTATCTAGTGCCAAGGTTTAAGAATGAGTAGGAGATACTCCAATCTTTCCCCCTCACCCCAAAGTGACTACATAGAGTATAGTGGGACAGCTTTACATTTTACTTTACATAAAACTCATACATTTGGGTTGCAAACTGAAAGAACCAGTGAGAGCATCAACATCCACTTACCACTTAATAGAATTGTCTTTGTGTATATTATCTGCAACCTACACTGCTGTTGCGCTCATTTTACCATTGTGACACAGATGAGCTCTGGAAACAAATTCCATCAATATGACTTACGGATTTTCATAGCTGCCCCCCTCCCAGAAATAGTTTGAGATAACACGCTATAAAATCGGTATCTCTGTACTGTTCCTCATACACTAAAATAACCCCAGATGTCTTCAGAGTGTCATCAAATAACTCATTCAAGGATAACTGCAATTTATGTATTAAAACATTTGTTAATGACGATAGTCAGGGCAAATGGTAAACGGATCAAGCTTCAGTTGTGCTGGAATAAAAGAAAGTCACACTTCGGTTCAGTATGGGTAACATACACAAAGACAAATGTTGAGCTTGGGCAGGGTTGGACCAAATGGTTCTCAGACTGGTAAAATTCTAAAATTTCAGCCTTTATAGACCTCCCGCTGCCACCACATTCCTTTACTTAAACCCAGCAGTCAACTTTCTAGAGAGAAAGAAAGAGAGAGGGGGGGGGGGGGGGGGGGGAGCCTATGCCGTCGTCTCAGTTCCTGAATTAGAAAGAAGCAGATGCACTGGGATACTTCGGGACCTCTCGCGATGTATTTAGTGTCGGAAAAATAAAACATACCGACAGATCACGTGAGAATTACTTTACTTAACCCTTTGAAGACAGTGGACCTGCCTACGTCAAATGTACACACCCACCACTTGGTAGGTAGTTCCTGTTCAGACACTGTGATGTTCTGTTTTAACACAGCCAATGGAGGATGCAATTTCAAACAGCAAGCCAAATTAAGTACGTATGGTTGTGTCACGTGTGTTAAACATGGAGAGACTATCACTCCTATGATGATGATGATTCTGCTATTCAACTAAAATAATTTCATTTCAACTACATGTTCGTGCTTCCTCCATTTACATCGTAGCTACATTATACTTGTGATTTCTATCTGTACTGTTACAGTATTTTTTACTCTAAATAAGCCAACAGACACCCATCCAAAGCATGGCAAACATTTCATGGGGCACCTGTACATTTATGGTCTTTCCACTTATGCTCCATTTTGATTTTATTCTTGCTACTTACATCATCTAGTTTTTTCATAATCTCTCAGATTCTTTTTGTAGCAGGTGTACTATGAAAGCATCCGACCAAAACACTTTTGGTTAATTAAATTTTTTCCTCTTCTTTGGCAACTGTTAATATATAACTCAGAGCAGCTTGGTCCGACAGGCGGCCTGCAGGCCACAGGTGACCGGCCCTACCACACTTGTAACCGGGCCCACAAAATTGTTTTTTGTTACCAGTAACTACAAACTCATTTACTTTCTCTATTCTGACTTGAAAAAACAAATCGTATTTCATATGATATTTTATGAACAAGCTGTACTCATGGCACTGAATTTAAAATCCTACCATAAAATGTAAGTTTGCAGGTAAATTTATGTCAAATATAAGCAGCTGTAGGGGCAAATTTAAAACAATATATAACCAATACCAACATGTGCACATTTCAATAACATTTATATCTGGGCATATACTACGGTAATTCGTCATCTGAACAAGAATTGTTAGAGATAATGAAAATGTTCACAGGATTTGAGAAATATTGCCAGGAGAAGTTTCTTAGACCTTGGATATGACAGGAAAACTATTCTTGGCTCAGTGAGGGAGGTGGACCACCATGACATACAGAAGTGTTCATAAAATAGAAATGTCAATTATGAGCACACTGAAAATTAGTGATGATGTCATAGGCCATGTCCAATATAATAACCTTCCTTTGTCCTGATGATCACAGCTTGACTTGTTTCACATACCACTGTTAGCACAGAAGACAATATGACAATGCAAATTAGTTTAAAAAAAAGCAAGCAAGCAAAGGAACAAAATTAAATCCATAACATCTGGAGTTTCTGGATACAGACATAACAGGCAATGTAAATTAAAATAAAGAGTAATACTCACACACTAGCATGAGGTTTTTTCTTTGAAAAGTCACAGGCAAGACCAAGATCTGATATCCTAACATGTCCATGTTCATCCAACAAAATATTAGCAGGCTTTAAATCTCGGTAGACAATATATCTTCTGTGCATATGTTCCAAACCTGTCAACACACACCAGTTCAGTAGATATACAAAATTAAAATACCCTGTTCTTTGTCAGTTCCCCACTACTTCTTCTGAGACTAGACACATGCACAAACTAAACAACAAATAACTTTTATGAGACATGTTTCATCCTTTACAAGCTTCAATGCCTAGTATTGTTGGTATCATAAACCTGCTAATCCTCTGTGCATGGTCCAAATATTTAGATGTATCAGACTCCATAAAATTTAATTTACTTTGCTTGAATTTCAAAACTGTTGAGCCGAGTCCATCACTGGACTGCAATGTGATTTTCTCAACATTACACCAAGTCAAACGCAGAATCCCGTTTGAGGTCCATCTACACAAGACAAGCCACCACTGCATGTTTTGCTGTTTATGTAGTTTTTATTGAGACACTCATCTGGCAATGGACTGGAATGCAATTTCAGCTCATTTCCAACAGAGGAACTGAAAGGTAGCTTCATGCCATTTTATCCTCTGTTCAAGCTCCAACAGTAAAGACACACACACTCGCGCGCACGCACACACACACACTCTTAATAGGAAATCATAAACAGTTGTGAGACATGTTTTCATTTCCAAAGTTAGTGTTAATGTGGTGTAGGTACAACTTATATGCAAGAACGTACCACAAAAATGTGTAACCACCTCAGCACATTCACAATAAATTACAACAGACGACTGACTGAAATGAAATATACTCCCAGACGGCATAATAAACCAAGTGAAGCACTGTCTTTATTGATAAGCTAATTAGTACACTCTGCTAGTCAAGAAATTCTCCTCATTTTATGGAACCCAAGGTTCATTACCATGTTCAAAGAAATCCACCATTATTCTACATTTTAAGCCAGATCTACACAGTCCACACCCTATAAACCTAAACCTACTTTCCTAAAATTCATTATCTTCCAATTTACTGAGGTCTTCCAAATGGTCTATTCCCTTTACATCTTCAAACCATGATTCTCTATGCATTCATCCCCACGGATGCTACATGCCCTGCCCATATCATCATCCTTGATTTTACCATTTTAATGATATTTGGTGAAACGCACAAACTATGGCTTTCCTCATTATGCTAGTTTCTCCAGCTTCCTGTCACTCCATCTCTCCTAGGCCAAATTATTCTCCTAGCACCCTGTTCTCAAACACCCTCAGTCTGTATTGTTGACTTCATGTAAGAAACCAAGTTTTACACCAATAAAAAACAACAGGCACTATTATAGATTTGTATATTTTACTCTATATTTTTAGATAGCAGACAGAAGACATACATAGGATTTGAGGTCCTCACAGTGGTGAGTATGAAGATTGGTGGGTCTTTGGATTGTAGTGAAGTGTAGAAGTTTACTGATGTTTCAGAGGTCCTGGTTTCCTCCATCATCAGGGCAACAAGTATGCCGAGCACGTGTAATTGGTTTCGGATGTAGGAATCGATTAGCTAGGGCAAACCTTCTGTTTTCTTGGACCTCCATAATATGCATATTATAAAGGAAAGTTGAAAAGCAGTAGTGATAAAGCATCACCGTGCTTCAGATTCTGAATTGGAAATACATCACGCAAATGTTTACCTAAATGAAGTTAAACATAGGTTTCATTTAAGTAAATTGCAATTAGTCCAAGTAGTTAAATTTTTATATTGAATTCAATGAGAGGTTCTTCCCCTCAAACAGAATCGCACATTTTCTTGAAATCTGTATACAACTGATGTACAGTCAGTCCCACTGAACTCCCACTTTTTTCCAGTATCTGGCAAATGCACATCTAATAAGTACTTCATCTGTTGTCATAATCCACAAAGATGACCCTCATTAATTTTGTTAAAATATGGGGTTAACCTTGACAGAATACTGGATAAAATTTTGTATGCACTTAACAGTGACATTCATTGACAGTGCAAAGAATTCATTCCACTGTGCACTGAAAATTCTTCCGTTTCAAAGAGAATTAATACATCTGTTGACTTCAGAACATATTACCTCCTGCTTGGACAAATTCTGCCAGAATCTGATCAATTCCTGGTGATTTATACCTTTTTATAATTTCAGCAACAACCTAAAGCTCGATGCCTCCGAGTCTTCCTAAAATCATAAATTCCACGTATGAAGCTCATTATTTGGTCTTTCAGATTTCCCTTTTCTTTTGGGTGGGGGTAGGGGGATACACACTGTGCTAGTTTCACATGCTGCATTGCCCACACTATCCTCATGCATCTGGCTTGGATTCTGCAACCAATGAAATTTAGCCCCACTCCCTCTATCTTTAGATATTTTGAACATTCATCAAACCATAGCTGCATTAACTTGTAATGACTCAGACTCAATATCACTGAAATTTTGATATTCTAATATTTTCACAAGCCCTACTGATGGCCACATTATCTATCACCTACCAATGCTCAGATTGGAACTGAGATTGTAACCTGATGCTCTTTCTTCCTTAAATTCTGCATTGTTTAGCATCTTGAGATCAAATCTCTGCACACCAAACTTTTGTCTTGCTCCTTTAATTGTCAATAGCCATGAAATATTGGTTCATTATCAAAATCAACCATTCTTCAAAAGTTCAGACATCAAGTATACTTGACTGTTGTCTTGCATGTACTGAGATGTGATCAATCCATATACTCCCATCAGGAGAGGTTCGAGTGTACATATGACTTATCTTGATATGCAAACACCAGGCTTCTGACAAATATATTTACAGATGTGGCAAACATACTACTCAAATCCCTATTACATTTATTAGTTTTCTGTAAACTGTCACTCATAGCTGTTGGTTTGAAGATATGTTCCCTCCCCACTTTTGGACTGAAATCTCGTAACAAAATTATTATGAAGTCCAGAAGGAACTGAGTAAATACGCACTCTAGTTCCTCATAAAAGCTGTCCTTTAAGTTATCACATTTATCATAAGTTGGTGCATGCGCATTCATATCATCATACGGCCTATATAAAATGGGACAACCTTTCACTAACAAACTCTACTCTCAACCTCTGACAGGGTTTCCCTTGTTTACAGAAAAACTTGTCCCTATGTGACATTCACGGCTGTACAACTGTCTACTAGTTCAGTGCCACTGCCGACCCATTTGACCTCCTATGCTCTCACTAAATCTAATTTTTATTTTTGTAATTTTCTTCATATTGCTATCCAAGACATGACCTGTAGAGATTCCTCACATTCCGAGTTCCCAATCCAATGTCCAAGTTAGGGCATTGCAAGTCTGAGGTGCTACATCATATTTTGTAAGATGCTTGTTTTGATGGCAGAGAGCCACTGCCCAACCCCAAGAAGGAGATCACCACTTGTTGGCTGTCCAAGACAGCTTATTCAAAACATTTGCAGCCACCCTCCACATCTGAAAGCCTTCTCCCCCATCAACAATATGAGAATGTAACATGCTGTAGGTATAAGGGACCTACTTAAGATGGCCTAAGCAGTGTTTGTCATGAACATTATTTTTATTCAAGATTCAGAAAACCATAAATTTTTCAAAGATCAATGCCCTTCAATTCTTGAAGTAGGCAGTATTAACTTTCTTACTGTTGGAAATCAAATGTCTGTTTTTATCACTTTTCACCTTTCATCTTTCCATAATTCAAGATATCAATGAATTTTGCATTTCTACTCAAACTCCATGTGCGCGCGCGCAAACACACAGACAGAGACTCTGCCAGGCAACGTAAATTTCTGTAATAAGGTACTTGTCTTATGAAGTGAGAAACATAAAACTATGTTTTGTTAAATATGTAGATAGTCCACCTTTCTGAGAACTGATACGGTATTATCGCAACATTCTGCTAACGCTTTCTCATTTGATACACAGAATAACATACCAACATTTATTACCATATAACAAACACTAAATAAAAAACAGAGTTTAAAGAAGCAAGAATCAGTGACATATGAGAGCTGAAAGTGATCAAACAGCTGTTTTGACAACTACAGAGAACCACAGTTTCTCAAGACTATTCTGTTTTGAAGAAATTGCTTGAACTGTGGGTATTTGTAGATCATGAAATACTGGAAGGACGTTTCAGCAAAGTAAAGCTAAATAAAAAATAAACTACTATGATATACAAGAATAATCAGACAACTCTAAACTCACCTAAAATAACTTCAGCTGCATAAAATTTCATCTCATGTTCATTAAACACTCCATGCTGAGATAAGTGATAATGCAAATCCCCGCCATTCATAAGGTCCAGAATGAAGCACAGCTTGTCTGGCGTATGAAATGCGTAGGTCATACAAACTATGAAAGGGCAGTCAACCTGAAAATTCATTAATCATTCCAAACTTTAGCAGTACGATACAATGAAACGGCAAAATGCACGAGTGGAATAAGTTTAATAACGCAACCGTTAAAATAATAAAGTTATATCTACTTTCCTTCAGGTGCTTCAATAACTTCAGCTGCACGGAACTAGCACAAACTACACAGATTAATAATTATACAGGTGAGATTTGAAGCCACTTCTGTATAGTGCTGCTGGTTTAGCATGGTTAGATCTCCTTAAGAGACATGCAAGTACAGTTTACAATGTTGTGAAATTTCATGTTCAATAATAAAATACAGTAATGAACAAAAATAATTCATATGTGATATTGTATGGCATTCTTCAGAGAGGAAATGCCACAGAAAGTTTTGTATTACATTCCATGAGACATGAGCTGGGGCAGGGCAGCAAAAATGAAAGAAATACTGAAAAACATATGTACTGAGTGAAGAAACGCTCGACATCCAGGATCGATTAGAAGCAAGCTTGTGGAAGTCGATATGCCTCCTGGCTCTTCAGTTTGGGTTGGTGAAAAGTTGCTGATGTTAATAGGCTTACAACACAGGAGTTGCACACAGCCTTTTCCTCCAGATTGCAAAGCAAGAATATAATATTGCAGGTGGTTTCAGGAATCAGTATTCTATGACTTCTTGACCCAAAACTTTTTATTTTATTCTGATGAATAATGTTGGTTCACTCCAAGTGGATACGTACACAGCCACAATAACATATACTGGAGCACAGAAATCCCCACACTGTTCATATAGTGGTATTGCACAATTTTAAAGTTGGAATATGGTGCGTAATTAGTGCCCACATTTTTTCAAAAAGCAATCAACTCCAAACATTATATGAGATTCTGTCACACTTCTTCAATCAAATGACTAACAATGAAAGATCGTACAGGCATTTTATGCAAGACAATGCAGCAGCATATCTGCAAGCAATTCTATGGCTGCATTAGATGATGTCTTCAGCAAACAAACTATAAGTCAAGAGTCATAGCCTCAATAATCACCCAATTTAAATCCTTGAGATTTTTATTTGTGGGGACACTAAAGGAAAATGTGTATGTGAATAATCCATGCATACTCTTTGGAAGAACTTCCAGAAAATATTGGGCATCAAATTTCCACTATTCCTGTTTCCAGACACAAATCCTCATAATGAGAGGAAAGCTGAGAGCCAGGGGATCACCACTTTGAAACTATTCTATAAACTATGTTAAGTTAAAACTACAGCGGAAAGGCAGACGATGAATGACTGGCTGCTGTAGAAGGTGCCTGCAAGAACTGTGCCATGCCAGCTACAGTGTCCAGCGTAACTATTAGATGCATACCTTGTACCTCTGTCAGATTTCTTTTATACTTTTTGTCTACACACTGCAGTGACGTATTATCTTCATACCAACATTTGGTGAGTTACTGTAGCTTGTTGCAAGTATCTGACATGTACACAGTGTAATACTAACTTATTATTTTCAAGTTATGATTATGATGTTATAATGGAACACGAAAGTGGACCAACAGTTGTGTGAAATGGGAAGACAGACTGAATTTAAAATGTTTTTGTAGATATGCAACAGCTCGACAATGGGTGGAAGGGACAGCGTAAGTTCATGCACAGACAAAACATGCAAGCAGTGCCAAAGATAGATAATAACGAAGCTATTTATACGTGGAAGATTTTCTCAAGTGTTTTTAAAACATGACTCACCTACAATTGTTAAAAGATCACAAAACAACGTCAATAATATCTCCCTTCTTTTTGAGGCTCCAGATTTTGAAATTAAAAAGTTATTAAAGTTTATATTTTTAAATTTTGAGCACACTGCATGAAGTAGCACATGCACCGGTCCCACCTCAAATGTTTCAAAGGGTACCAAGTTTGTATTATTCTTGGCAAAATATCAATAAATATAGACACTGGCAAACTACTTGCTGCACGAGTGACTGTCATGGGTAGCTTGTAATGGTTGTGGTGGAAGTCTTGGACATGAGTCGCTAAAAACATTTACCTCAGGTTTCATTTCTGGATAGCAGTTCAAGTCATGTAATTGAGTCCATAGTCAAATGTGCTTTGAATTACTAGCAAAATCACTATCAATTTCCTAGAATTGTGACATCACCAACACACCAATACAAATGCAGGCTAATATGATGTCCATACAGCACTTGACAAAAATCATACTCGTTCAAACGCAACTGGATGAGAAAGACTCGTGATATGATTATTTTGACCCTGACTCCACATTAAGAGGCGGTGACCATAAGGAATGTGGTACAGTGTTTGATTCAATAATATATTTAAGTCGCTTGAATTGATGCACCATCAAGTGTCTACTAAGGGCAAAGTTTTTAAATAATGAACTTACCCCTGTACTGACTAGTGACAACATAATCCTCTCATTAAGGGCCAGAGTTTCACCCTGCTTCATTTTGATCCGCTTCTTGTCCAGACATTTCATGGCATACATCTTGCCCGTGTCTGCTTTCCGACAACCGTACACTTCTCCAAAACCCCCACGCCCAATGATCCGATGAACACTGAAGTCATTCATTGTTAACTGCAACATCATCAAGAAATTAGTTTGCTAAATCAAGCCCATGAGAAAGCAAGGGCCAAGACATGTCATTGTGCACACGCATTACAAGTTCTTCAGGCATTTAGTTTCTAAGGAGATGGATGTCCTCATTTCAACTATTTCCCTTACCATTGTGTAATTGGTACTGACAACTTTAGGACCAGATCTGGACTAAGGGGACTCTAAAAATTAAAAGAAAAAGCCATTCTACAAGAAGTAGAAGTTGTTTTGTCTGTGCCATTTGATTACAAAACCCTGATCAGGCTGGGGGGGGGGGGGGGGGGGGG